AGGGGTGCGCCACTATGCTTGGCATGTCCTTTCTGTATTTTAAGACGCCTGTTTTTACCTGAGATTATACAGATATTCTACATTTTCTTCTAAGAATTAAGGTTTTTTTCTTTCACAATAAAAACCTGGAGCAAAACCAAAACAAAACCAACAATAAAAACCAACGAGAACCAACCAAACAAACAAACAAAAACACAGGCATGGTGACACAGGCCTTTAATTCCAGCACGTGGGAGGAAAAGACAGGCAGATTTTTATGAGCTCAGCCCAGCCTGATCTACATAGCGAGTTCCAGGCCAGCTATTGCTACAGGGAGGCCCTGTCTCAAAAAAGAATAAAACCATAAACAAACAAAAAACCTGGTGCCACCTGGAATTGTGTGTGTGTGTGTCTGTCTGTCTGTCTGTCTGTCTGTATGTGTGTCTGTGTCTGTGTGTCTGTATCTATGTCTCTGTGTGTGTTCTGACTGGAGAACCAATCCTTCTAGCTTTTATTAGAATTATTAGTTCTTCACTGCTGGTCTTCATGGTATACATTCTTCAGCAGAAATCAGATTTTCTAATATATGTGGGTCCTTTTGGTCACCTTTTGTCTGTTCATGTATTTGTTACTCCCCATGCCAATTCACACTATCTTTTCTTTTTTAGAAAAAGTCTCATTTGTAGCCCTGATTGGCCTGGAATTCTCCAGGTAGACCAGGCTGGCCTTGAACTCACAGAGATCCACCTGCTTCTGCCTCCTAACTGGGATTGAAGATATACACCACCACACCAGGCTCATGCTGTCTTATTTGTGGTTGCTTATAATAAATGTTTACACTTGATGGGCCAGTTCTCTGCCCAGAATCCTGATTTAGGGCTATCTCAGGCTTTCTTGGCCCTTTGCTCTTCCATCTAAATTGAACACTTAGCTCCTTGAATTGTATATAATGCTATATTGGGCTTTTGATTGGAATAGCATAGAGATAATTTGTATGAACTTTCCTTGTTGCCCGTGAACACGGTATGCATCTCTATGTATTGTGCTTAGATTTTTCTTCAATGTCACAATGCAATTTTATAATTTTCTTTAAAAGGCTTTCATGGCGTATTTCAGATATCTGCCACTGATCTTGTAAACAATATCTTTCTAAGATTAAAATAATGCTATGTGTGTCTGTGCACTTGAGTGCAGGTACCTGTGGAGGCCATTAGAGGACATTGGATCCCCTGGAGCTGGTGTGGTAGGCAGTTATCAGTTGCCAGAAATGGGTGCTGGGAACCAAACCTCGATCCTCTGAAAGAGCAGTACATCCTTTTAACCCCTGAGCCATCACTCCAGCCCCTTGTAAACAGTATCTTGTGCCCACTGCTAAATGTGCTTGGAGTCATATTATATCTCATGTGTTTTCCCCCCTACAGCACACAGCCTTTTACTAAGGGTCACTCAATACTTGTAGGGAGGAAGGCCAACCCCTGCCAGTGGACATTCCAGGTTTCTGGCTTTCATTTTGCTCAAGTCTCATTCGTTGTTCAGTTTCCCCAAGTGCTTCAGGTTTGAGGTCTGATAAGCTTGAATCTCAGTCCTGGCGTTTGCAACTTCTGCACCCTTCATCTCTGTGAGCGTGGGTGAGCCTTGCAAAGTAGAAATGGTAATGTTCGCTTTTCTCCAGGGGTGGCTGATGACTCTGAGGTAGCAGAGCTCAGTGATTAACATGGAGCCGAGCACTAACGGGAGCTCAGTCAAAGCTAGCTTTTATTATTACTCAATAAAACCTTTTTCTTTCCTTATGCTTTGCCTCACGTTGATTATTCTAGCTGAAATCAGTGTTTGAAAAATTGGGGAAGTAAAAGTCAGGTTTGTGTTTTCTGTTTCACCTTTTCTTCATACTATTCCTCCTCTTGCCAGGGTTAAGTGGAGGTACCCAGCCAGTGCTGGGGGAGGGCTTGCAGATCCCCCAGTTAGTTGCCAGGAGAGTAGAGAGTAAAGGTTCTACCTGAGGATGCTACCACCCAGGAGGCCTCTGGAATCTATAGCCCCCAGTCTCAGCTACTGCCTGAGGTCATGTTTCAGGGCTGTTCCCTGGCCTCACTGCCTCCTTCCTATCTTGCCTCTAGAACAAGATTTCTTCCATCTCAATTCCACTGTCTGATAATAATAGTCATAGAGCCTTCCTTGGCTCCCTAGTACCTGTGTGGAATGAAGCTTAAGTTCATTAGTCTGCTTTTCCCAGGCCCTGCATGAACTGGCCTGCCTAATGGCTATCACCCATCACTGCCCTGACTCCTATTCTGTGTGTGTACACACGTCAGTAATTTGCAGTACAAAATTGCTGAATAAGAACCATGCAATAAGGACCCCGAGGCTCAGGGAAATGAAATGACTCATCAGTGACTCCCCCAGCCAGGAAGCTCAGAGCAGGATTTCAATTTAAGTCTCTGGCTCCCAGGCTGATTTCATTCCTCCGGTCATTGGCCCTTCCACCAAGGTATAAAACCTGTTTGATTCAGTTTAACACACAAATAACCTAGGGGAATGTTGGCCCACAGATTCTAGCTCCTTTGTACAGCTTCTACCCAAGTGAGTCTAAATAGAGTCTGAAATAGGACAGGGAAAGGGCAAAGGGCAAATGAGCAGCCTGGGGGAGAGAAAGTGAGGAGGACTGGCTCTTTTCACCTAAGGTTGAACTCCCTGGCTTGGAGCTGGTGACTAGGTTCATGGGCAGGGCAGGGCTGGGTGAGTGGTGAGGTAAGCAGAGAGGATGATGGGATGACGTAGCCTTAGTGGTGGATGGAGGAAGTGATTACCACCAGGAAACAAGCACTGAAGCCTAGCATGACAGACAGCTGAAAACAGTAGCAATGGCATCTTAGATTCTTTATATCTCTCCGTGCAGTCTTTACACCAATAGTCCTCAGAAGTGCTGATCGCCGTTTGTGTTTCACCGAGGAGACTGAGACACAGACAGAACAGGATTTGCTCCAGAACACCCAGCCAAGACAGAGCAAAATCCAAGATGTACCTGGGAGCTCCCCATGCCTCAGTTCTCTCTCTTCACCCCCACCCCCAATTCTGCAGTCTACTCTGCTCTTCTAAATGTGGCCAGACATTTGAGGGGCCATCAAAGGTCATAACTTCTGTTTGATGTAAGATATTCCTGTAATAAGGAGAATTTAAAGTAGAGAGACACAACATTGTGTAGATGCAGTGTTAACCCCCTGCCTGCCACCTCTGCTCCACCCTGCCTTACCTAAATGTTCCCAAGTCTGTCCTCGGTGCCTATCTAAGGTCTCTTCCTGAGTCCAACTTAACAAGGGGGATCCAGAACTGAGGATGACCAAGGGATGCTTTGGGATGTGAAGAAGAGACAGAGAAAATTGTTACTGAGCTGTCCACTTAGTGACCCAGGAGCTGTGTTAGGGGCAGGATGGGGAGTGGGTCAAGCAGTGGTCAGGGGTGTCTTTCTGCAGTCTTTCTTTGGGCCTGCAACATCAGGGACAGGTATAGAAGGGGACAACGAGGGAGGAAGGTGAGGGGCAAGGGCAGTGGGGCAGAGATGAGCAGAAAGTGTTTGTGTAAAAATGTCAGGATGAAACCCATGATTTTGTATGCTAACTAAAAAAATTAGTGAAAAATCATTATTGTTGATGGGGCTGGAGATATGACTCAGCAGTTAAGAGCATACTGCTCTTCCAGAGGACCCAAGGTCAGTTCCCAGCACCCACATCAGGCAACTCACACCTCCAGGGGATCGGACACCCTCTTTTGGCCTCCACAGGGCACCCACACACACATGTACACATACATTCAAACAGATGCACACCCATATACATAAATGAAAACAGATCCTAAAAACCATTATTCTTAATATTATTAATGAACATAATAATAAATGAATTGATTTATTTATAATTTCCCCTTCTTGTAAGGATAGCAGTCAGGTATGGTTGGATCCACCCTAATGGCCCACTTTAGTGTAATTACCTTTTTCTTTAAAAAAATTTTTTTTGGTCCTTTTGAGAGAGGGTCTCCCTGTAGCCCCAGCTGGCCTGGGACTCACTATGTAGACTAAGCTGGCCTTGAACTCACAGAGATCTGCCTGCCTCTGCTTCCCTAGTGCTTCAATAAAAGGCGTGAGCCACCACACCTGGCATGATTACCTTTTTGAAGGCCCTAACCCAAGTACAGTTCCACACTGTAAGGATTCAGAGCTTCAACAGAAAATCTTCAGGCAGGAGTAGGGATCAGCCCAAACCCTGACCCTGGCTTCTCTACAGCACATGCTTTTTTTAGCCAAGGAGTCCTCATGTCTGAGGAGCCTTCCCCAGTGGCCTCCCTCATCCATCCTTCCCAGTCATGTCACCCTGCTAGCTTTTCCTTCTAGTCTTCTGCCATCACCAGAGTTGTCTGTCCCTCCCCAGCAGTGTACTGCAAATATTTAGCAGCCAGCCTTTGGGTATAGGCGATGGCAGGGCTAAGGGTGCTTTATAATATTTGCCAATTTTTGTGGTGTAAATATACCCACCATGGCAGATTTTAATTTACCAACATGACCTAAAACAGCTCAGCACTCTGAAAAATCCAACAGCATTTATCAGAGCAAGTGTCATCTGTTTCAAGTTTCTCCACCAAGATGTAGATTTCTCTGAGGCCAGAGCTTGTGGTTTCTTCTCAATAAAGTGTCTTGATCCTGGTATGATGGCGTACACCTTTAATCCCAGCACTCAGGAAGCAGAGGCAGATGGATCTCTGTGAGTTCTAGGCCAGCTTGGTCTACATAGTGAGTTCCAGGCCAGCTGGGGCTACAGGAAGACCCTGTATCAAAAAAAAAAAAACCATAAATAAATAACAAATAAATGTGTCTCTGTAGCTACAGCAATCCCCAGGACCAACATATAGTTTGGAAATTATTTGTTGAACAAAGTGAATTCTTTAACTCATCTTAGAGAACTTTGTGAATTGGCTGTTTTGCTGCCCTGTAGACTTTGATCGCCCCTTTGCTGCCAGACCTACAGCACACCCCTGGTGACATCTAGGTCTCCCAACAGTCACGTGTTCCTTGTCATGTCTCTGCCCAGACAGCCCTAACCCTGGATGACTTCTGCTGCCAGGGGGACTCAGCCAGAAGTACGGACCCCTGCATCTTCATCACAGCTGCAAGGTTAGGTGCCCCATGGGCTCCCCAATCTTATTGTGCTTTCTCTCTGGCCCCTGACCTCAGAGGATTCCTGACCTAAGTGCAGGGCCCACAAGGGTGATATCCAACAGAAGGGCAGCGATGGGGAGCAGCAGGGCAGAGAGTGCTTGGAAAGGGACTCTCACCTACACTACAGTATGTTCCAAGGCAGCTCTTGCCCAGAAAGAGTGAAATTCTCTCTTTGTGAGAGAATGGAGAAACAGATGAGCAATTGTGTGCCTGCCTGAATAGCAATGATTAAGGAATGCCTGGAAAGAGCTCTGCTGAAGGCTCCAGGCACGAGAGAGCTCTTGAGCTCGGGAGAGTGTTCAGGGGGTGGGGCCGGACTTATCGGAAGATGACAGCCCCTCATTCCTTCCTCATTAGGTCACCCAGCTCCCAGCTCTGAGTGAGGTGTCATCCTGTGAGTCCCACCTTGACTCACTGCTTTTTGGGAGGCTGTAACCTGAAGGAGGAGAGGAAAAATGTTCCCGTTGGCAGGACAGTCTGTGAAATGGGGTAACAGTACACAGGTTGTGAGAGCAATGTGATTGTGCCGGCTGGAACCAGGCATACAGTAAGCAATTAGTACAGGAGGACCCTGTGAATGTGGATTTCGCCACCTGAAGCAGGTATCTGTCATCCTTTGTTCCTGGAGCTGAGAAACAGAGCCTGGCATATGCGTACTCAATAAGTTTGTGGAGGCTGTGGATGACATAGCTATCTTCTGGTAACAGCCAGGGGATGCCAGCTCCAGCCCAGAGCCTGGCTCCTACTGTGCGTCGTGCTGGTGCCGCAATCCTTCCCTTTCCCCACCGGCTGCCCCAAGCAGTCCTGACAGGCAGTGAACACACAGAGACTATGACTCATGACGGTCCCTACTTCTCTAAACACTCCCTGATCGGTGCAATCTCCAGGGCAGGCTCGTCAGGGGGAGCTGACAACTTGGGGTACAGCGGGTTCACTTTCCCGTTAGCTGAAGCATTGATCAGCAGGTCAGCTGGATCTCTCAAGGTTCTGTGTGAGGAAGGGAACAGGATGTTCAGTCTTGAGAGAGAGACACCCCACAAAACAGGAAGTGAGCCTGGTGTGGCCCTCACCACAGCCTTTCGGTTTGAAGCTCAATTCTCTCCTTGTACTGACCTTGAACTTACCTTCATCTTGGGAGGCTGCTCACAGATGGTTGGGGGGCAGGGCAAGTTCAAGAACAATCAGGAAAATGTGTCAGAGAAGTGCTAAACCACTGTAACTGTGCTCTGACTGTGCGCCTGGTTCTACACAGGGTAAAATGATGCCATTTATGTCATTTTACAGAGATACCAGCTGTTCCCCAGCCTCTATTGTTTGATGGGCTGAACTTTTGCACAGGCCCTTCTTCAACTTCAAATGCCCTTCCTTCAGCACCCATCTCCAGTGTCCCATCCTCCCCAGCTTGCCTGAGACAGTGAACCACAGCTGATATTTGGGCTTGGGTGGCTATACCTCTCTGTTCCCTGGTCCCTCCAAAGTCCCAGATGGCTTTCTGTTCACTTTGGGACCCAGAAGACACCCGCAGGTAAACACACAGGAGGGGAGGAGGGGTTCTCTCTTTCCACTTCTTAACACTTTGTCTTTTCTCCTGTGTGCCCCTCATTTATTCTTTTCCAAGAACAATACTTGTCACATTGTATTTGAAAGCAGAAGGGGGGGCACAATACCTTCTGGGCAGGCACCACACAAGGCATTTAATTATTTACCTGTAAAATCTATACTCTTTCCCCAGCAGGAAGGCATCAGAGGAGAAAGTGCTGGAAAGTCCTAATTCCAAGGAAATGGGTGCTGTGGCCTCCATTTTATAGATGATAAATGAAGGCACAGAGAGGTGAGATGAGTTACCTACAATCGCACAGCAAGCAAGTGGCAAAGCTGTGATTCCAGCCCCTTCTTCCCAGTTCCAAGCATTTGAACAGGCAGACTGTCCTCACAGCTTGAGTATGAGGCAAAATGAGGAGAAGTTGTATGACATTGGGCAGAAGGAATACATCAGACCCAGATCCAGAGTGCTCCATTCCTGCCTCCTAGATATGACAAGTCCTGGCTCCCTGGAACAGATGGTGACTGGCCTGTGCAGCTGCCCCAGGCACCTCCAACACATCTAACCACTTTCCCTTGAGGCCCCTCTGCTTTTTTAAGGAACATTTTTCTGTTTGTTTTCTTCTAATATTGATCCTGCTCTAAACACTTTCTTTTCACTCTGTGTACCAGGATTTGGGTAACCTTCACCCTGAGGAGCTGTACAACACCCACAAAGGCTCCAGGAACCCATAACTTCTCAATAATGCTGAACTGAGTGAAATTTCCCAGTACCCGCCTCCCCCGCTTGACTAATGCTGCCTTAACTTGGCGGAGCAACGTCCTATTTTTGAGGAACCCAGTCATTCTGTTTAGAGTCTATTTGCTATGCTTGGATGGCCTTCTGAATCAGTTTTTGCTTTTGAACTGATTCACTCTTCGCCACTTCCTTGTATAGAAACCCAACAGCCTTGAAGGCTTAGCCTCAGCCCCAGCTTCTGCAAGGGTCACCCACACCCACAGCACCCCCCACCATCCCCTTAGTGTTTATTATGTTGTTATCCTTATCATTTCTTATAATTCTTGCCAGGACTCTAGGAAGACAGTGTTATACCCATTTTTGAGAATATGACACTGAGCCTAGCTAGTTTCACTCTCTTGTTCAAGGTCACCTGAAGGAAACAATGAAGTTCGGAAGCTGAGCCTGGCCCAGGCCTCCAAAACCAGGACCTGGAAGGTGGGTGTTTGCAGGGCCTCCAGTTGCAAGGCTGGTTTAGGCATCTGTTGCAACTCTATGCTCACTACCTGAATCCCACAGACACTGATGCACAGCTGGGCCTTCCTATCCCTTCTCTGGAGCCAGGGACTGGAAGCTTCCGCAGCTTTGTGTTTCCTATTCTCTGGAGCGCTGAGGGACAATCTCATCTGACACAATGAATGAAGTGGCTCTGGTATGGCCCAAAGGGATGAGGGGGACCCCTGTGGACATGCATCCTTCCTAGCTGAAAATCACCCAGGGGAAACTCAGGGTTTCTGTAGCTCCAGATGAACGTTGCCAGACAAAACCCTCTAGTGATTTTTTTTTTTCTGGGTTGAAGTGGCTGAACCTTTATGTAAAAGGCTCAATGCATATTTAATTCATGTTCATATGGGTAAGCCCTGCACCGGAGGCAGCTTGGCTTGAGCCTTTGGGTGCTGCCCTCCCTGTTACCTGTGCTTGGAGGCATGCTCCCTACTACCCTGACGACAGGCAAGCTTAGAGACTCCAGGGAAGCAGAGGAAGTGAGAAGGTAATGGTCCTTCAAGAAGGGAAGGCTAAGAGGGGAGACTAGGCAAGGCTGGCTCATTCCACAGGAAACGTGATAGGGACAGGCCTTTGGACCAGGATGGGACAACAGAAAAGCTAGATGAAATAGAAAGGCCTGAGAAGGGTGACAGAGGAACAAGGTGACTGTGGGTGTCATGTGGAGATACTAGTGTGGCCATCATTCACCTTAGTATTTTCTGAGTCTCACTCTGTAACCCAAACTGACCTCATACTTGGGGTGATCCTCCTGCCTCAGCTTTCCAAGTACTAGGATTGCTGCAGTGAGTTGCTATGCCTGGTTTTGACTTGTTTTGTGCACCAAAGATCTTGCTGACCTGGTCTGCTTTTTGCTTGTCTTCCTGATAACCCTATGCCCAGCTTTCCTTGGAACCTCCCAGCAGGACTTGGTTTTACTTGTGCATCTATCATAGCAGCTATTGGCTGGTGGATTTGAGGCCCAGAGTGCACACTTTGTCTTTCGATAAGAGCAATAGGAGTGGTCCATTGGGGAAGTAGCCAACAGCCTGGCTTGCTAATGTTTCCCAGAGATGAAAAATCAGTCGTCCAAGGCCTCAGGGCAAGAGTACAAAGGGAGTCACACATTTGGGATGGACCAGCTAACTGTCCAACTCAAGGACTTCTTGTCTGATGGCTTTGGCCATAATGGCAAGCGTTCACTCCTGCGTCTCCTCTGGGCAACGTAGAGACCTGGCCTGGTCATGGGAAGCAGTAGCAATGGCTGTGATAATCCTAACAGCAAACTCTGATGCAGCATTCACTCCGGGCCGGCAGCAGGCCCAGCTTCACTATTTCATCTCCCTTTCTTTCGTAAGAACAGTGACCAAAGAGCTGGACTGTGAGGCCAGGCAGGCCAGGTACAAGTCTCAGCTCTGCTACTTCCTGGCTATATGGTCTTGGACCAGTTACTTTACCTTTCTGCACCTCAGTTTCTTCATCTTTAAAAATAAGACCTAGCGCCTGGCATGGTGGTGCATACCTTTAATCCCAGCACTCGGGAGGCAGAGGCAGGTGGATCTCTGTGAGCTCAAGGCCAGCCTGGTCTACATAGTGAGTTCCAGGACAGCTGGGGCTACAGGAAGACCCTGTCTCAAAAAGACCAAAAAAAAAAAAAAAGACCTAGCCATCTTTATTTCTTCTTTTGAGAACTCTCTGTTCAGTTGATTAGCCCATCTTAAAAGGTGTTCAACATCACTAGTAATTAGGGAAATGCAAAATAAAACCGCTTTAAGATTTTATCTTACCCTAGTCAGACTGACTAAGATCAAGAGAACAAATGTTGGAGAGGATGTAGGGAAGGAAAACACTCACCCACTGCTGGTGGGATGGCAAACTTATTCAACCCCTATGGAAAGCAGTGTAGAGAACTCTTAAAAATGACAAATGAACCTACCATTAGACCCAGTTATACCACTCCTTGGTATATACCCAAAGAACTCATCCTATTGCAGAGACACTTGTACATCTGTGTTTGTTGCTGCTCTTTTCATCGTCCTATTGCAGAGACACTTGTACATCCATGTTTGTTGCTGCTCTTTTCACAATACCTAAGAGATGGAAGCAACCTAGGTGTCCCTCAATTGATGGAGTTTTATTCAGCAGTAAAGAAAGATGAAATAATGAAATTTGCAGGTAAATGGATGGATCTAGAAACTGTTATGCTAAGTGAAGTAACATAGACTCTGAAAAGCAAACGACGTATGTTCTCCCTCATATGTGGATCCTAGCACCAAATCCTTATAAGTGAGTATGCATTCAGACATAACTACAGGAACCAGGATAATGGAAAGGAACCAGGGAGGTAAAGGAAAAGAAAGAATCTGAAAGAGAACAGTATAAAACAGGTGTTAAGAAGGGAGATATGGATAAAAATGAGGTTATTTTAAGGGGAGGGGGGAGGGAAGGGTATACAAGGAACCTAGGGGATAAAGGGAAAGAAAGAGCTGGAGAGAGAAGGGTATTATTAAGGGAGAAATGGGGAAAACAGGGGCACCTTAAATGGGGAAACCATGGTGGAAGGGTTGACAATGTGAGAGATAAATAATGCCTAGCTAGTTTTAGAAAACCAGGGGGAACCATATTAGGCCAACAACTTACTGACAAATTATACATACAACCAGATCAAAGAATGTAATATATGTTTAGGCAAGGTTTATCTGAGAGTGTTTGGTCTTTGCCCAAACTCTATCTATATGGCACATGGTAATTAAAAGCAGGAGACTGGTGGAACTAACCTTCTTGGATGTTTAACAGCCATACTATGAGGCCTATACTAATTTGGACAGAGGGACATAAAGGACAGTTTTTGCTCCTTTCCCTCCTAGGTCGACTAAGTTCCAGGGGACTATGAGCATCTATCAAAATGTCTGTTACTGTGGTGAGTCACCTATCCTCTTGATCAAAGAGGCCGTGGAGACCCTACCAGATGGACCTGAACCAGGGTCCAGTCTACGAAGAAAGAGGAGGGTCAACACAGAGGAATCATTTCCTCTATGCTTCCAAGTGAAGCCAGCCATGGTCAAGAAGGACCTTTTGACTTATCTTCACATAGATGGAACTGGTAAAAGAAAGGAGCCAGAGGCTCCTCCTAGGCCCATGTTAGCCCTGAGAAACAGATCCTCAAACCACCTTAAGAGTAAAAGTAAATTGGTTTGTCTGGGTCAATTGTAGGGTCTTAAATACCCAAAAGGAAAGTATAACCAAAGATTAATGGGGTCAATATAATTTTTTAAGAGTCCATATGTATAGCTAAAGGCTACATAACAAGAGACAATGCCAGACAGGGAATACCATCCTTTGAGTTACTGGCCAGGGCAGCCCAAAAGACTCCCAGATAGTAACCCAGCATAGAACTGGGAAAATGAACAGCAGACCCCAATCTTATCTAAAGGAATATTGACAACTGATTGCTGCTAGACAAGGAACAGCTGATCTTCCTAAGACAAGGACCTCTAGATAGGCTGACTAGATTCAGGGGATGGACAAGCACTGGGGAATGGCTAGGGGTGCCGATAACACAGTGGACAGTAACAGGGATGACAGAGTGTATGGGCTCCATTGGGGGAGGGCTATGGGAGGGTGCCTTTGGGAAGTGGGTATATATATGAATAAGATTGTGTGGGATGTTCTGTATGATATACACACAAAAAAATCAAATTAAAAAAAGACATATTTGAGGAGGAAGTAAACCTGCACCCCAAGCTCAGTTAGCAAGTTCAATAAACTCCTTAAGATTCTTCAACCCTGAGTTTGGGCAATTTTTTTTTTTTCCTCAGGCTGTCGCAAGAGCCTTGGGAGGAGGGAAATGGATGCCACGTGCACCACCCAGCAGTGAATTTGACTAACAATGCCTTTGGACCAAGCAGTCTGGAGGCAGAGGCCCTCAGATCTCTGTGAAATCTAGGCCACCCCGTCTCCATAGCAAGTTCCAGGGCAGTTGAGGGTACAAGGAGGCTTTGTCTCAAAACGATCAAATGTACTCTTGCTCTGGAATGTGTTACTGAATATGTTAAAGCTGTAATGAAATTCTTCTTCTAATCCTGTGGTTATTAAATAAAAAATTTTTAAAAATATGATCTGTTAAAAAGTTAAAAAAAAAATAATAAGACCTTTGCTGGGTATGGTGGCACACACCTCTAACTCCTGAACTCAGGAGGCAAAAGCAGGTGGATCTCTGGAAGTTCCAGGTCAGCCTGGTCTATACAGAGAGTTTCAGGCCAGTCACAGTGAGACACTACCTCAAAAATAAAATAAAATCCAGGCATGGTGGTACACACCTTTAATCCCAGCACTTGGGAGGCAGAAGCAGACATATCTCTGTGAGATCAAGGCCAGCCTGGTCTACATAACAAGTTCCAGGATAGCTACAAGGAAAACCTGTCTCATAAAAACTAACTAAAATAATAAGAAATAAAATGAGATGATATTAGTACTTAATAATAGCTCCCTAACAGAGAGCAAATGGTACATAGACACACCTCAACTTATAATGGGATTCTGCTCCAACAGACCTATCATAAACTGAAAATATCATTAAGTTAAAAAATGCACTTAATACACTTTCCCCCCTGCACACTGTTGCTCAGCTCAGCCTCCTTTAGCCACCGTGAAAAAGCTTACCCTAGCAAAAAACCATCCAGCACCAGGCTCGTGGTGTGATAGAGTGGGCAGTGGCTCCTGCATCCACCAAACACTGGAAGTGAGCCACAGCATGGCTTCCCACCATTGTTATGAGTCGAACATCATTAACTGGGAACCATCCACCTCAAAGAAACAAGCATCAACTTTCTCTTTCTGTGAATTGTGGAAGGTAAGTACATGAAAGAGAGTTACCTTTCAGAGCTCTCAGCAAAAGGGGCTTTTCAATAAAGGTATTGAAGTTGAGGTTCCTTTAGTGGCACAGGTCTACAATCTCAGCACTTGGGAGGCTGAGGCAGGAGGATCAGGAGTTGGAGGCCAGGGCTAGGGAGATGGCTTAGTGGGTAAGAATACTTGTTGCACAAGCATGAGGACCTGAGTTCAAATCCCAGCACCTACATGAAAGCTGGGCATGGTCACATGTGCCTTGTAACCCTAGTCAGGGGTAGGTGAAGGGGTGGAGGGTGGGATGGTTGGGGGT